GCAATGAAATCAATATTAACTGTTGATTCAACTTTTCTTAAGCAAGTTTAGTCAAATAAATCCTTTGATTTTCTTATTAATGATATTGAGAATAATTCTTCAAAAATTCATGATACTTCTAAGTTTGAATTTAAGAATAATCTATTCTATTTTGAAGGGTACTTATAAGTTCCAAAAAGTGAAGTATGATTATGTATTCTTCAATCTTATTACAACTTTTTAACAATAGGGCATTGTGGATACAATAAGACTTTGGAGCTAATATCTAAGGATTTTTGGTGGCCTCAAATATAAAAATTAGTTAAAGATTTTGTATAATCATGTGATGTTTATTCAAGATCAAAAACTCCTTGTCATTGATCTTATAGACTATTTCAATTATTATCTATTCTAAAATAATCATAATCTTTTGTTTCTATAGATTTTATTACAAATCTTTCAATTTCAAATTCTTATAATTCTATATTTACAATATTAGAACATTTCACCAATATGATATATTTTGTACTATGTACAAAATCTATTACATGTGAAACAATAGCTAAGCTTTTCTTTAACAACATCTATTGCTATCATAGTTTGTCAAAGAATATTATATCTAATAAAAGAACACAATTTGTATCAAGTTTTTAAAGAATCATTTTCAAGATATTAAAGATGGATATAAAATTATCTTTTATTTTTTATCCTCAAATTGATGGACAAACAAAATGGATGAATTCAATTTTAGAGTAGTATTTGTGATGTATCATCAACTATCACCAAGATGATTAGATTTTTTTTTTTTTTGGCAAAGTTTGTTTATAATAACATAGTACATTCTTCTATTTTATAAATATCTTTTTATACTAATTATGATTATCATCTGTAACTTGATATTTTTTATTTTTTAAAAGTTGATAATCTTATAGCAAAAGATTTGTCAATCATTTATCAGAGCTACATCAAACAATGAAGAGATAATTAAAAGAGGTTTAAGGTCGACAAAAGATTAATGCACATGCCTATTGCAAAAAAAAACCTAAATTCCATATTGGTGATAAAATATGGTTACTTTGTAATAATATCAAGATTATTTTTTTTTATGATAAATTGAATTATTATAGTTTTGAACCATTTTTTAATTGTAAATAAATTAATCTAGTTACTTATTTATTACATCTACTAGAGTCTATTAATAAATACACATGGAAGCTAGCTAAGAATCTCACAAAAATAATAGAAAAGGTCAAAGTTTTTTTATCAACAACATTTATCAAAACTAAGATGACAAATTAAACAAATCTTTGCTATAAAAGAAAGGATGTTCAATGAAGATTGCAATCCATCTTCTATCCTACATTGCTATTCTTTTGTATTTATAGCGCTAACATGATAAAGAACCAACAACCAATAGATTCAACTCAAGAGCTATCATTTACTAACTTTTTGGATAAGACATTGCAATTGTCATAGTCTTTAAGATGATTTAATAGAAATAAATACCTTCAAGAATGACATGTTCTTTTTCAAATATATGGCAAGATACAATGCATTTGATATCATGATCTTTGAAGAGACTTCTAATGTTTGGTGATTTTATTGGAAGATGGTCTACATGCCTTAAGATGAGACATTATCGTTGGCTGAGAGGACTTATCAACTATGTTAAAAAAAATTTAAATTTTTTTATAAATCAAAGTATGTTGCAAATATAATTCATTGCATCTTAGACTTCCTCAATATGTGATCACTATTCTTTGTAGAACTTCTTAGAAGGACAAGTAATAATATATTTTTACATATATATATATATATATATATATATATATTCCAATAATTATTTAGATAATATAAATAAATTGAAGTATGTAAAAATAGATTAATTTAATAATATCTTATGAAAAAAGCTTTGTAGATGCTTCATAGACATGATTTTATCTTTATATGTGTCTATAAGTAATTAATAGATTAAAAGTTTGGCCAACAAGTTAACCATGTATCATATGTGTTGATAGCTTGTGGTACAAGCTAATGATGTGGTGCACATGTAAGAAACTTATCTTGCAAGTTGAGACACATGTCTCATAAATTGGACATGTATCACATAGCTCTTAGATAGATTGTATATATAGAAGCAAGAGTGAAGCCTTCTTCACTCTTGTCAATTCTTCTAGTTTTGAAAGTCTTTAGATTTCTAGTCTTTCAAAATAGCCATTTCAGTTTTTTCTTAAATATACATACTTTCTTGTTATCATTTTGTCATGTCTCTTTGATACTTATTTATTTGCGTATCTTTCTTTGAGTTCTTGTCCTTGATAGCCAAAGGCCATGTAATTCCAAATTTTGGTAATAAACTAATTCATTTACAAATTAATGCATATTATTGGTTGCAATTTTTACAAAATTTTTTCTTGTGCTTGCTTATAGATCCTAAAGTTTGAGATATATATATATATATATATATATATATGTATATATATATATATATATATATGTATATATATATATATATATATATATATAATGAAATTGCAATATTTTTTGGACACAACTTTCTTTAATTAAATAATCATAGAAGGCCTTTAAACACCTCCAATGTTATAAAAATATTGTTTGTGATCTATTGAAGTTGTGAAGTTTCTAATATTTTATATTTATTTTTCCACAAGTTTTAATACTTGACAAAAGAAGCTAAAAACAAGTTCTGAATGATACAAAGTTTTTAAAAAAAAGAAAAGAAAAGAAAAGAAGCAAAATGTAGTGTCATCCATCATCCTCACGTCAGAAATACGTATACATAAATGCGTATAAACATACACCAACCAGGAGAAGCAAAAATGAGAGGTTAGGAAATCCATGAGGGAGAAATAAGGGAGAGTGTGCATGGCATGAAGCCCCAAGGAAGCAGCTATGGAGCTTGATGCACACGCGCACACACACGCAAGCAAGCAACCAAGCAAGCACGCACGCACGCCGCAATACACACACCGGCGATGTCCCGGTGCAACCTCTTCCTCGAGGCTTCATTGCGCTTTCTTACCATTGCTTTTTAGTGTCTCGGAACTTCTGGCTTGCGACAATGCGCGCTAAGGAAGGATTTCCGAGGTCATGAACGGAGGTTTGGCTGTCAACTTGTCTAACAACAACAACAGCAGCACCGATCACCTTTTTCCCAGGAAGGAAGAAGAAGAAAGGACGGGCAGGAAGGAGGGAGGGAGGACCACCACCGTTTCCTGTAGCGTCACCGTGATGTGGTAGTGACGACGACAGGGAACAGCCCCGCGAGAAGGCAAAGGCAAGGTAAGCCAGCCTTCATCTCCGTCTCCGTCGCCATCGTCATCGCCATCCCTGGCTTCGTGAGTCTCTCCGGAAGGTTACGACGCTGCGTGGGCGGCACTGGCAGCAACGGTCGCAGTTGCGGTTGCGGTGGCGTCAGCGTCAGCGGCCGCGGCTGGCTGCAGCTTGGCTCTTCACATCAAGGAAGGCTGGTCCACTTAGTTTACAGCGTTGCATCCTTTTCTTTTTCTTCCTTTTTCCTTTTTCTTTTTTGATAATGAGGATAGTTCCTGCACACTTATTGTGCACAAGGCCATGAAGAAGAGTAATAAAATGGCATTTAAAATGGTGAATTATTAGCATCTATTATTGGAAGGGTAAATAGTATATACCCCCCCTTCATAGTATTGGATATATTTATGTGCTTCTATTAAATCAATTAAATGCGGTTCTCTCTGTCCTCTCTTTCAAGGCCATTAGCGGGGTCTTTTCACATTACATTAACCATTTGATTAGGATACTTTTGAACTCTTCCTTCTCTTCCCTCTTATTTATTTATTTTTTGTTTGATGAATCCAGGTGACCCACCAATCACTTCACTATCTCCTGCTTCTTTGATCCTTCCTTCCTTTTCTTGCTTTCTTATTTCTTTCTTATCTTCCTTGTCTCCATCACTACATGATGCGATTGTTGGGGGGCAGTTGGCCTACCCTTACAACCCCCTTGAACTCTATTATGTATATAAATATATATCATATATTATATTATATGTTATATTATATTATCCTCGTCATCATCATTGCCCAGGTCCACTGGGCATGATTCCACCCCAGAATGCTCTAACCCCCACCCTCCCCCCCCCGACTTCCATCAGGGTATAAATATACAAATATTTATTTATTTATTTAAGTAACAAACAAACGAACTAACAAACACACACACATGAATTCACACAAGTGTGAATTTATGCCCCATTCCACATTTAAGGCTAGTCAGAAAATTTTAAATGAAAAATAACGCTTTTACATATATATATATATATATATATATATAGGCCCACTCTTTCAGAAACTTTAGTTCTTGCTTCTATTTTTCAACGCCTCAATTTCTTTTTTTGTTTTCCTTCTGGAAGTTCAGTGAAAGAGCAAATAAGGGACCAAGAAGACATAGGGACTCATCCAGTTTCTTATTAAAAAAAATAAAATCCACAGCATGTTTCAACACAATAGTATGGTTATGTTTCTGTTTTTATTTTTATTTTTATTTCTTAAATATATCAATACTGATATATGGAGTTTTCAAGATGAGTATCATCAGCCAGTTGCAGCATGTCAAGGGGTCATTCCTCCTACAAAGGAAGAACCATTCCTATTGTGCCCTTGGAACATCATATCATTATGGAGGATAAAGGAAGAAGGGGAAAGATGAGGTGGTCTGGGCCCTTTCTTTCTTTCTATAAGGTGGAATAGAATAGAACAAGAGTAAGAAAATGGGGTCTGTCCTCTCACTGACACTGATGACACTCCAAGCAAGTGAAGTGGCCATTTCCACATGTGAAAGGAGGCCACTACCTCCACCATTTTACCATAAAACACCAAGCCGGTCCTTTTCCAAATGTGGCTATTAAGACTTCTCACACTATTTATTCCCCTTCTGGCACTCCTCTTCCTCTCTCCCACTTTGCCCCATCCATTATGTTCCCATGGTACCCTTTTCCCATTCCCCTCAATTTCACAACCTAATGGAGTAATATATATATATATATATATGTGGGTGTGTGTACTAAACAACCCAAGTAGCTGTTCCATCTTGGCATATATACCCCAATTGTTAATGATTGAAAACCCTTCCAAAACAAAATGCTTTGGCTTGTAGCCCCTCCCTCTTTTGGGAACCAGGGAAGAGGCCATCCATCACATTGTGAGTACAAAATAAAAAAACAGGGAATCAATAGCCATGGGTAGGTACATTTCCCTGGCTAATTTGCCCTCCACTTACCCCACTATTGTATAAGCTAGATGTCCCCAAGTACACTCTTGGTAGATCATTCTCAGCTTCTCAGCTACCCTAACCCTAAAATCTTCAACGAAAATAAAAACACAACAAAAAAAATATTAAACAAGAAAAAAACAAGACTCAACTCCACCACCCCCACTGTTATGAAGCCACCTGATCTTTCTCTCTTTGTTTCTTTCTTTGCCGTTGACAAGCAGTCCATGTTAGGAGTTGGTTGTCAGTGAGTGGAATGCTATCCTACTTGCACCTGCTCCACTGATAAAATATCTGGGATTGTTGGAGTGTCACACTGGCAAGAGATCTTCTTCTGGTGAGAACTCCATTGTGCTGGGAACAACAGAAGAGGAAAGAGAAGAAGAAGAAGAAGCAGAGACGGAGAATAAGTTAGTAGTACTCTCCCCCAGACAAAACTCTGCTAAAAAGCCCAGTGCTGACGAACTGACAGCCAGATAACATGCGATATTTGAACAGGGAGGCAGGCATGATCCCAAACCTGAGTATTCATTCCTCACTAGCCCACAACTGGAACGATTCAGCAGTGTGTGTGGAGAAACACCAAGGTTTGTAAAGTTTGCAGAGGATGGAAGCTGCAGTCTAGGGCTCGGAGTTTTAGTTCAAGAGGCTGCTCGTCTGAGAAACCCAAATGGGCGAAAGTTGGTGAATGTATTGAAGGGGCTGTCACCCATTTCTTGGTGCCATTGAGATGGCCCAACAAATTGCTCATTTTCTCTTGTGAATCAGTGTCTTTGATGATTGTAGCTTAAAGTTGTGACAGTGTTTTTGATTAAAATGCTGAGCATTTGATAATGCAATGCTGGCCTCCCCAATGCCGAAAATTGTGGACATAATAATGTGTCCTGGCATCTTGATTTCAGAAATCCTCACTGTTTGGCGCCTAGAAAATTAATTCTGGAATTTTGTAGGAGAGTTTTTCGGTAGTGGTTTAGGAAGTAGAGGGAGTGAATTACATCTTGAAGGCATTGGTTTGACCTTGTTACTGTCCAAAGCAACGATGTGGACTGCCCACAACCTTCAGCGGTTATAGACGTGACAGTTCTGCATTCATCTTTTGGATATTTTACTCAGTTCCAAGCATGTTGTTCAAAATCTGAAACACAACCACATGAATGCAAGGTTTGGGTTTACCTTAGTTTTAGTTTTTTACATAGTTGAAGGGATTGCATGCTGACACCCAATTGGGTGGAACGGCTTACTTCAACTTCTATCCAGAAATCCATACTACTGCAAAGCACCGACTTCGAAACATGAGCTCCCCAAGTGAGTTGACAGATGAAGCTGCCTGAGGTTCAATGCGTTGTCGAGACATGTCACAGTTGCTCCAGAAAATAGGAAGTCTCTTGTGAAGCAGTCGCATCCACTGCATTACCCAGGTGAGATACAGCGCCAGCAAGATGCCACTTACTAGTACTTCAAATAGCATGAAAAGGGATGACATTGTGATTTCATAAAACACAGAACTCAAAATATGTCAATTCTGTGTACACATCCTGCTTGAGAAATGCACTTATAAATGACGTGAACAGAATTCTGCTACTCAGGAATGCAAACACGATCCTAAACTGGATGGCGAAAAAACGGCTATATTCTTGACGCAGAACCACGTTGCACCTGCAAAGTATGAATCTACAATTCATTTCCTAGGCACTTGATACCACGCGCCCTGGGATGCACTACCCCACTGTTAGCACAGCGGAGTACATCGCATGGAAATACCTCACTTTGTAAATTCTAATATGTCATGAAGGAGATCATAACTCAATCACTGTAGCACAAAAAAAATATAAAAATATAAAAATAAAAGAAGAAGAAGAAAAAGAACAAACAAACAAACAACACAAACAAACAAAAGCAAAAACAAAAACGGATTTTATGCGCAAGCTTAATCGGAACCGAGGTATGAGCTAAATGATTTGATTGCAGGATGCCCCGCACCATTGAATTGGTCCAACGCGTCCTATCATGATTCGGCATATGCTGTGGCATCGGGTCTCATCGAGGAACTTGCTTGACATACGATCACTTTTATCACACATACTTGCAAGGACGTATTTGTGAACACTGGCGTGGCACCTGAAATACTCGTGGTCTTCAGTTGAAGGTTGCGATTCTACAGCACACAGGGTTTGTATTGCTCCAAAACAACAGAAAATACGTAAATATATCTATATCTATATATATATATATATGAAGCAACGGTAGATCGTACCTGCACCCAAATCGCAGCTTATCAGAATTTTACTCCCCGTGAAATGATGAGTGGAGGCTAAGAGACTGATTAAGCTGCATTCTCTCAAAGAATATTACAAAGGATACAATGCAATCCAATTGAAACCTGAAACATTGAGGAGTTCATCAATATAAAATTGATATCATTTTAAAAGGAAGATGAACTGTGATATATTACGAGTTGGCTAAAAAACTATAGGTTTACAAAATACATTGTGGCCGTTCGTCGGAAATACAAATTGATACCTTCAGCAATGAAATGCACATTAACCCTAAACAATGTATACCATGGATAGCAAGCAACCAATTTCATTAAAATCCCAGCAACTCAAAATTGATCGTATGAAGTGAGAATAAACGAACTTAAAGTGGATCAGGTAAAGGACCCATTGATGATGACGAATCAAAGATCTCCAGAAAATATAGCATGAACTCCAATAGATCAATGGTGGACTCACCGCATGCCCCGGCAACAAGCACCTGTACTGTGAGGACGTTGAATGAATCTCCGCAAGTCAAGTCTCCGCATTGCAGCTTCTTCATCTCGAGCATAACGTAGTACATACAAACACACACTAAGAATCCCATCAGCACCCGTAGAACCCGTTCGACGCAGAAAACGTGAAGACGAAACAAGAAAATGGTAAGTTGATACAATCAGCTAACAAGCACAGCATCATCCTAAACCAATTCTCAGAAAACACTCAACCCCCCTCTATTCCCAGCCAGAATGTACCACACATTCACTTCGAAGATCAGCAACCCTCATCGTTGACCTGAAGTCTTGCGCCTGAGGACGTTGAGCGCATCGGTACCCAATTCGACCACAGACAATCACTTCATGGGTCCATTAATCCCAAAGCTTCTGATTCCTACGCAGGCATTATAAAATAAGAATTAATCGTTGGAATGGGAAGACCCACGAGTGATTACCGCTTTCCTGAAACAAAACAACGAGCCTGATGTCAGATTGACTGGCAGAGATGACAGAAACTGAGAAACCCAAATTAAATGCGAAATCGAGAAAAATAACATTACAATGTGCGCTTCTCGATGGCAGAATTTGTTGCGGCCATTGTCGACTAGATGATGAATCAAGTGGAAATTTCCAAGCTCGCAATGCTCACAAGACGAGCTCATTTTCTTCAGCTTTCACTCGCACGGGTTTAGGTTTGGGGGTCCGCGGACACAGAGATATGAACCCCAGGTTTTGCTAATCGGGTATGGAACCGGGTATAGATAGATTGACGAAACCGGATAAAGGTTAGTGGAACTGGAATATTTGTAATTCTAGTGTAATATGTTTGAAAATTTAAATGTCCATTTTTTATCATGAATTTTTTTATGATTTTTTCTTAATAAGTTATTTTTTTTATTTGAATAGTATTGTGATATTTTTTTAATTTTATTTCTTATTTTTTATATCATACATATTCCATGTATTTATGTACTAGGAATTTTGAAATCATAATAAACATATATATATATATACATAAAAACGTAAAACACATAAAAACATGCATGAATATATATAATAAATGATTAGAATTTTATAGTTTATTAAAATAATAAAACTAAAGTTTTATTTTTTATTTTTTATATAGTTTGTATTTTTTTGTTCTACAAATGATTTAAAATTTTAGATTAGATTTGTTTCATGTATATATATATATTTATATAATTTATTATTTAATTAAATAAATTAAATAATGCATTATAATATTAGATAGTTAAATTTATATTCTTAAATTTTAAATTTTTTGAGATATTATCTTATTTAGTCTTTATTAAAAAATATCTATATCTTTCAGTATTATTTTAAGATCCAAATTTTTTTTATGGATTTTATATTACTATTGTTGTAGATAAGATCTTATAAAAGACAACAAATAGAAGAAATAAGGACACAATAATTTGTAACTAATTAATTATATTATCAAGTGAATTAGCCAAGGACAAGAACTTCATGAAAGCAAATAAAAAAGGGAGAATTTTTTAAAGAAAGATGAAAAAATAGAAATAAGAAAGTATGTATATTAAAAAGAAACTAGAATGGCTATTGCCAAACTATAAAAAAACTAGAGATCCTTGAAACTAGACTAGAAACATAAAAGGAATTTGTAAGAGTGAAGAAGGCCTCTCTTTTACCTCTTTATATACTATCTAACTAGATGCTATTGTATTTTGTGAAGTTTGTTTATAAATGCAATAAGCATCTAGTTGTAGAAGATAAAATAGTACTTTCAATAAGATGCTCTCAATAGCTCTAATAGAATCCTAAATAAATTGTAATTATATTATAACAATATTAATCAATCTTCAATTAAATTCTAAAAAATTTAAGATTTATTTTTAAACATTTGCTAGGATTTGCTTTCATCCAATATATGGATGCTTCATTGCTTGAGATTTTAAATGTTGTCTTTGTAAGTACCTTCATCCATCTTTTACCAAAGTTTGTTTCTAATTTTTTTCCACTCTCTTATACTATCTTTAAAAAAAACAACTCCTTTCTATAGTGCTTCTATAATATCTTTATATTCCCTTCTTGAATGATCCACACTATGACACCACATTTACTTATGCACTATGTACAAATGTATAGATAAGATATTTGTATTGTTGATACATAAGGATAGATAGTTAAAATTATATTTGAAAAGTTACGAAAGTTTCTAAAATGGGGGCTAAATTAGTGGATTATATAGGATCCAATATTGAACATTCTAAAAAGAGCTTAGGGTCGTTATTTAGATGGGATCTACCATAGAACCTTCTAAAAAGAATTTAGGACAATTATCTAAGTAGGATCCATCATCTAAGAATATTTTAGAAAATCTACGGTGGTAGAACAAAGTATAAATAAGACTAGCTAAGCCCTTTTGGGCATCTCGTGAAGTATGGCTTCAGATCTTTTCTCTTTAAAAAAGTTTGGTTTTACATCTTCTTATTTAGTTTAGTTTTGTTTTATTTTTATTTGCTCAATTTTGTCCTTTGTGTCTTATTCTATTTAATTATGTTGAATTTTATTTTGGTCTATTTTGTCCTACTTTGTGATGAAGTTTTATATTGTTAAGGATTAAAAGGATTTAATATTCTTGAAATAAATTGGTCCTATTTTATTGGTATTAGAGCGAATATTAGATTGATCTGTGGTAGTGTATCAATAGTCATCATCTAGTTTGAGGTTAGTTGTTGTGGTCACACTGGATACTATGTTGAGGCTACCATGAGCTATTCTTAAAAATTCAATTGAAAGGTGAGAAAGCATTACAATAGTGGAGTCTAACAAGAAATTACAGCTTGAAAGATGTGGTGGAGCAATCCCACATAGAGGCTCAAATATATTATTTTTTAGGCCAAAAAGCTACTTTGAAAGGGCAAATAGAAGCTTCTAAGACAAAGGAGTGGACATATGGTAGGCTAAAATTAAATAATCTTAGAACATAATGCTAGGACTTCAAGGCAAGAAGATGTATGTCAATAGCTCTTCAACATGTAACAATACTTCTAACTATATGAGGCAAATACCATTGAAGGAATTATATATGCAGCTAATTATTTGAGAAATATGGCATCCATTTGATAGCAACATCAAGTTCAAAGCTATCAAGTTCAAGGTGGATTTTGTAATTGAGAGGAATTCGAGACCAACTTTAGGAATAAATTTTAGCCCATCAATGTAAAAAAGATAACACACAATCAGTTGGCAAATCTTACATAATTTAGAGTAGTGCAAGATTATATCTCTCAATTCAAGTTCCTCTATTTTTAAATTGGTAATGTTTCAAAGACAAAGATGATGGATTGATTTCTACGAGATTTATAACTTGGGGTCTAGCAAGAGGTAGAACTAAGGAATCCACAAACATTTGAAGAGGCAATTATGATTGCAAAGATGGTTGATGCAATAAATTTCAGAAATTAAAGAGTATGACTTATAGCACAAAGTTCTAATGCTATAGTACAACAACCAATGCTAATGGATATTGATGCCCTATAAGGATCATTGACACCACAAAGACAACAAATATTAATACAAAAGGATTAAGTTTTTATTATTAAGAGCAAAGCCATCAAATTAAAGATTGTCATAAACGTCAAAATTCAAGCACCAAAAAAATAAGGTGGGTTGACAGTCTTGAGATTTACTAAGTTGATAATGAGATAGAGTAGGAAAACGAGGTTATCAAATAAAGGTACCAAGGGCCAGTATTAGAGATAGCAATTGTGTCTTAGAGACAAATGGCATGGCCTTAAACAATTATAAAAAGAGTTGACTTGTATATCTAAAGGAACTACTAAAAAGATAACCATGTCTAGTACTTATGGATTGTGGCTCTATAAAAAATTACATCTCAACTAAAATTATTGACCGACTCGAGATTAAAATTAATGTAATTAAAGAAAAGAATATATATCTTATAGATGACTAAGAGAACGTATTAAGTGAGATATGTGAAGAAGAAATCTTGAGATTGACTAACACCTATGTCTTAAAAAAGAGGTTCAAAGTAACAAAGCTAAGATATGATGTTATCTTTGGTATGTTGTAGCTAAAGGTGGAAAATAAACAAATTGATTGGATAGAAAAGAAAATTTCTTTCAAAAAAGATAGATGTAAAATGATTCTTCGTACATCCACATTAAGTGAAGAAAAAAAATAATCTATAATTAAAAACTTATTTATAGAAATAACCTTTATAAAGAAGTAAATATAATATAAGCAATTGGTATATATGGTGGTTCCAAATCTTACATCAGTGGTGGAAAAGACAACCAAAAGAATAGAATGGACAGAGAAACTCATATAAGAATATCAGGATGTCTTCCAATCAACCTATCTAATAGCATGCCTCCTGATTGAGGTGCCCCTTTTCAAATAGAACTATTGCTTGGATCCAAACCAGTAAGTCAGCCAATTTATTACTTAATATCAAATGAATTTGAAGAGTTGCAAAAGACATTGGACAAACTCTTGGAAAAGGCATCATTTAAAAAAATACATCACCATGAGGAGCACTTGTATTCTTTACATCCAAAACAGATGGTGAACTTTAGCTTTGCATCAACTATTAAGGCATTAATAAGTAGACTATTAACAATGCATATCCACTTATATGCATGGATAATCTTCTTGATCAACTTTAAGATGTGACCATCTTTAGTAAATTAGATCTTTGAATTGGCTGTTGGTAGATACCTATTACAAGAGAAGATATAGAAAAGATGGTATTTTGTATGTGCTATGGATATTTTGAATGGCTTATTTACCTTTTGACCTTATCAATGCTCTAGCTTCTTTCATGGATCATATGAACAGATTGTTTGAGGACCTTTTGGACAAATATATAGTTGTCTTTATTAATGATAACCTTGTATATAGTAAAATTCTTGAAGAGCATAAGTAACACTTATGAGAAGTATTGCATTAGCTTCAAGATAATTGATTCTATTGTAAGCAATCAAAATGTGAACTTTGGAAGGTCCTAATCACCTTTTTGGAGCATGTTGTGTCCTCCAAAGGCATGCGTATGGAGCAAGATAAGATGAAAGCAATAGAGGATTGACCAATCCTCAAAGATGCTTTTGAAGTCTGTTCATTTTTAGACCTTATTGGATATTATTACCATTTTATTTGGCAATTTGTACATATTGATGTCTAATTGAAAAATCTATTGGAGAAAGGTGTCTCATTTGAATAGAAACTAGAGTAGCAAAGTGCCTTTGATAGGTTGAAGGAGACACTTATTATTGCTTCAATATTACAACCCTATAATCTCAACCTTCCTTGTATACTTGACATTGATGCTTTTGACTTTGCTATTGATGTGGTCCTTCAACAAGACTTTGGTAGGGGCTTTCAACTTATGGCACATAATTTACGTAAGCTAAGAAGGACAGAACACAATTATTTTGTATATGATTGAGAGTAATTAGCAATTGTATATGCCACAAAGGTAAGGTAATACTATCTGTTAGAAAAGCTAATGGTTGTTTAGACTGACCATTGATCCTTACTACATAATTTATATCTAAAAAATATGAAATCATGACATCATAGTTAAAAAGAATAGTTGCATCTTTTTAATATCAAGCTTCAGTATAAGCAAAGGTGACAATATACTATATTAGATAACTTATCACGAAGACCAAACTACAAGATTAAATTGAGAC